CTCTCAGTCGAGGGCCTCGTCTAGTACGAGGAGGAGATGAGCTGCGAGAATCCTCCCGTTGGTGTCTCCGCGGAGGAGATTGTGAACGGGTTTCACGTTGTCGTGGAGACAGGCTACGTGAGTCATGTCTTATGTGCTTTTTGGGGGATCGTGACCGGCGGGCCTTCTCTAGCATTATGAGGTATTCACCCTGCGCGAAGAGCATGTAATTGGTCTAATTGAGTGCCACAATCAGGGCATGGGTCGAGGGATCAACATTAGTGGGCACTGAGATTTCCTGGTACGTCGCGGGTTCCTCGATTTGCTGGTGAGTGTCGTCCAGAGGATGTGGACGGGTGGAAGAGGAAGCAATTATTATGTCCTTGATGTCGTGCTAAAAAACGCCAACATTGTTATTGTTGTTGCCAACGTCGGTGAAGTGAGCATTCTGGTCACTGTTGTTGGCTTGAGTGGCCCTGCTTATCGTGAGGTTGAAAGAGTTTTCTTTGGTCTTAATTTAGGAAAAGACGGGGAAGCGGTGATTCCTGCAGACGACGCCACTGATCGTACCTGATCAGAAAGTATCATCGATGGCTCACAAGCTTGGACTGAACGGTGGTTGAAAGTGAAGTGGAGGGGGTACCTGCAAGATGCTCCAATGATAAAGTAAGTATATAAACGATAATGAAAGCAGGGAGTTTAAGTTAGTAGTAATCAATGTACCTAATCCTCTCGTATGAGAGGGTATTTATAGCCCTCAGCACTGGGCCAAGATCTACGCATTGGGTCAGATAGTTAGGCTCAACAATAAAGACTCTCAGGGTTACGTAAGTAGTGGAAACCAACACGTGGCCTCCTCCCTGGTCAACTACTCCGAGACAGTAGGGAAGTTATGGGCTCGTTATTCTCGGTGAACAGGATGATGGTAACTCCGGATAACCGTTCACCACGTCTCCTTGGTGGACACGTGAGGAACTCCCCAATGATTGCCGACTTGGGCCGTACGTTATTAGGCCATAGTAAAGGCATTGTATTGGGTCTGCTCGATAGTGGGCCAAGTGCAGACCCAGTCCAAAATAATGATGTTAGCTATACATTCAACAATATCAAACAAATAAGCACGATATAATCAAAGTAAGGAAAGCATAGAGAAAACGGCAATCGAAAAAGATTTATACAATGCCATAATTGTAACATATATTTGGGGAAGAAGATGGAAGAACGAAACCTGGAGAAAGAGAGAGAGAGAGACAAAAGTGAGGGGAATGAATCTGTGTTATATGCTCAAATCAATAATGTATTTGTTACAAATTTATGACCAACATGGGAAGTAGTGAGACTTTCCATTGTCTAAGTAAATGATTTTGATTTTTCCAGGATTTTATATGTTGCTTTGAAGTTTAATAAACAGTTTCATATTTAATTAGAGATTAAAATCAATATAAAATAAAATAAAAATCAGAATAGAAAAAATATAGGAGTGACACATAAGCATCATTAATTACGAAATACATATAAGTGAAACAAATGTGTAATTAGACACTTTTAACACTAGAATCAGAAATTTTTTAACGTAAACTCAGAATGGTATAAGTGATTATTCCATATACTTGAACTTTTATATATTTATAATATATCCAAACCAGCTCAGAGTCAAATCATTAGGTAAGAATTTATTATAGGGTATATGTTATTATAAAGGATGAGACAAAAGACTTAATCAAATATTTCCTATTGTTTATGCAATTGTAGAGGATGAAACAAAAAATTCTAGATAGTGATTCATATACCTTCTACTAGATGACTTGCAAGACATAAATCATAGATTTGTCTATTAGTAGCGATTTGTTACATAAGTGATAGATTTTGTTTAATCGATAATTCGACTTTGTGCTAGTGTGAATTAAGTTTGAATACTGTAATAGTAGAATCTTATTCGTAATTGAAAATAATTTGATAACACTTCTTATAAAATAGAATGATTTTACAATTCGATTAATTTGTATGTTGGCAAAATTTAATAGTTCCATTCGATATATTGGAAACTCATTAAGGACATTTGTGAATCTCTCAATATAAGCATAATCTCTTTTGCGCTAAATTTTCTTTCGCCACAATTATAAACTCTGTTTTTGAAAACTTTTTAAAAACTTTTTTCAACCGAATTTATAAATTTGGGAGGTCTAATCACCCCTCCCTCCCCCCTTCTAGATCATTCATAGTTTGTATTCTCACCCAATACGAACATGAAATCGTGGAAAATGTAAGACTTAGAAATCGATTCCCACGTACAGTTTCATTGTTTTGTACTGTAATTGAAAATAGAGTAAATATCGAAGATAGCGGTGGATCTTCGCTTCTGATACAGAGAGGGGAATAACCGTAATAGGTACTTTATATATATATATATATATATATATATATATATATATATATATATAGATGAAATAACAAATTTGTTATTTGTTTGAAGTGGATTGCAGAGAGTCGTTAGATGCATCAAAAGTTGAATTCTTTATATTCGTCTGCAGGACAGTTCTTGTGCGTTGAAAAAATTCTGAAAGAGTTGCGACTCTTTTAGAATAGTCGGTCGGGAGTCAATATAATCGACCCATAACACTTTACAAATAATAAAATAAAATAAACTCAAAAAATTACAGATATATATTTCAAATAATAAAGTAGAAACCAAAATATCAATGAATGAATCATACAGCTGATATTCCAAATTAACAAATCATATAATCCTAATAATCAAAATTGAATAAAAAATAACAAACCAATATTTCAAACTATCATCAAAACATCCACTTAACCAAGAATATCCTACATCATTGGTCATTGAAATTGCTAACATAAGTAGATATCGATATAAAGGAACGGGTTGAAAGACTGATTCAGGGAAGTACTATTGTCCCTATCACTTCCTCCATCTCCATCTTTTGAAATCGAAACTTAAACTTAAACTTGAACTCAATCAAACTAGAGGCTGGTTAAACACTAACATGACATATTTTCAAATATTTTAATAGTTCTTTATTAATATTGAATTCAATTGATATGTATTAAATTAATTAAAAAAATATTTAGCAAATTGTTCATAACCGTAGAGCAGTAAAAATATTCCGCATACGGTTGCACAGGCTAGAGTGACGGATCTAACCACGAATGATGGAGAGTGGAATTGGGAAGTTCTTAATGATTGGATGCCTCTTGATATTATGGACAAGATGCAGGCGGTGCTTCCTCCCGGACGGATTATGGTGTTGACATTTTCTTTATTTGCAGGTTTTTTGGACGGTGGTTACTCTGTCAAAGAGGGTTAAGAATTGTTGGAACTAGCAGTTATACCAGCAATCCCGAACTGCTGGCAGTAAGTTTGGAAAATTCAGGCTCAACAACAAGTCCGTCTGTCCGTGTGGTTGATGTGTCATAATCTGTTATTAACTAACACAAAGAAAGCGAAGAGAGGAATGGGAGGCGCGGCGTGTGAGCTGTGTGGCAACGTTATTGAAAGCCTCTTGCATGCTGTGAGGAATTGTCTGCATGTGGCTGCTGTGTGGACTTGTCAAGTTTCATTGGACATCAAAGATGATTTCTACATACTGAAATTGTGGGAGTGGATTAAACTCAATTTGAACTATAATGGTAATTGGAGTTCATATTAGGCATTAGGATGTCATAGTGTTTGGAATCGGAGGAATAAAGAACTTCATGATACCAATTTCAAGAGACTATATGATCAAAGCTCTTATGTGCATAGGCGGAAACATGATTATCCCATGGCCATGCAAAATAGTAGACTGATAGTTAATAATGTTCATCAAGAGGTGTTAGTTACTTGGAATCCTCCCTTTAATGGTTGGAGCAAAACTAATACGGATGGTTTGTGTCGGGAGCAACATATTTCTAGAGGTACAGATGTATTATTAGAGACTTTAAAGGGGTGTGTCAAGGTGAGTTTTATAAGTTTTTAGGCGACTGTGTAGTATTACTAAGGCTGAATTATGGGGTGTTTTCCATGGCTTGGTGCTAGCGAGAACATTAGGGTTGCGTAAAGTGGACTTATGTGTAGATTCGACAGCAGTTATCAGCATTTTGAATGAATCTAAAGTGGTTACAATGAATTGTTTAGCGTTGGTGAAGCAAATTCGTGTGGTGTGCGAGGATTTTGATGAGATCACTTGGAAGCATACGTTCAAAGAAGCAAATCGGTGTGCTGACACTCGCAAGTCTAGTCTGACTTTTGATGTTAATTTTCTAAATTTTATTAAGCCTTTGTAAATTTTAGATCTTTCTGATCCTCCTATCCTCAAGAATATTTGTGATTAGTTTTTCTTCTTGGACTTAACCCCTCCTTTTAATAAAAATAAATAAATAAATACTTGAATTTAAAATCTATTTTAAATCAACATTGTCACATACGATACATAAAAATTAATCTTTTACTTTAAGATATTCTAATCATTTAACTGAAGTGACAATGATGTATGATTTATTCAATGAAATTATGACAAACAAAAAACAAAAGATAAGAACAAGCTTGGTTCGAGTGTTTTTATTTTAAAAATTAACAATAAAATATAGGGTGACGAGTCTTGATTACACACTTACTTTCCGCAACTACATGTTCATGTATACTATGACTTATTACTAACTATGTTTGCTTTTCTGTTTTCGTTGGCTATACATTATTTTGCGTATACGCTGAAAGTTTCAACCTATATAGTAATTGTATTGTATTCCTTTATTTCAGATTAATAAATGACCTAACTCATAGAAGCGATAGATGAATTAAAAGTTTATTACATGGAAACATGAAGTTCATAACGATTAAACTAACATTTGTCCTAATGAATAATACCAAAACGGAAGCTTCTATTGAATAAAAGTTCTAAGTTTCGGAATTCTCTATTAAGCTAACACTTATAAACCCCTGCTGGTAAATGTGAAACAGACCTTAACAAGGCAACAAGAGAAGCTTACAACTCACTCTTTATACGAAAATGTAGTCCACTAATCTAAGACTTTTTAACCACGCAGATTAAATTGGAAATTGATGTTTTCCTACTGAAAAACTTAACAGCTGCTTTTTTTCGAGGTTTTTGTGAAACTTCTTTGCTTGGTTTTTCATCTGGCTTATCTTTCATTGACTCAATAGCATCATCCTGAACATCTTTCATTGACTCAATCACATCATCCTGAACATCTTTCATTGACTCAATCGCATCATCCTGAACATGTTCTTCCTTCTTGCTCAAGTTACCTTCTTTGGACTTCCTTGTCTTCTTTGACAACTTTGTAGCTTCCTTTGGTTTCACAGTTTCAACTTGTGCTTCACCTTTTGGCTCAAGAGTAGTAGATACTTCAGATATCTTTTGCACTTTTCTCTGAGAAGATCTAGTTTTCTTTATAGCTTCCTTTGGTTTCACAACTTCAATCTGTGATTCCTCTTTTGTCTCAGGAGTAATTGGTACTTCAGATATCTTTTGCATTTTCCTCTGAGAAGATCTAGTTTTCTTTATAGCTTCCTTTGGTTTCACAACTTCAATCTGTGGTTCCTCTTTTGGCTCAGGAGTACTTGGTACTTCAGATATCTTTTGCATTTCTTTCTGAGAAGATTTAGTTTTTCTACTAGAATTTACCCTCTGAGGTTTGGACTCTTTGTCAATGTTACTTTCTGGCAGACTTTCTTCAGAATTCTCTGATTCCTTAGTTTTAATGGCATGTTTTCGCTTTTTAGTCTTCTTCGATGCTGATTCATGGTTACTTGCAGCCTTCATTTTTTTTGTTGTTTTGGATGTGTGCATATTTTCTTCTTCCACCAAAGTATTGTTTTCTTCTTCCTCTTTTTCACTAATATTTGGAAATGCACTAACAATATAAATCTGCAGTAATGTTATTGTCAGAATCACTATTTATTTATTGCTATATAAAGCATGAAACATGCTTTGAGAAATACAATAATGGCGCTCCAACAAATTGGCGTTTGCATCGGAGTTATCAATCCTAGATAGCGGAGCGGAGAAGCCGACCCCAAAAATGGGATGGCAGGATAGCGGGTAGTGGGATAACAGCAGCAACTTGACTATTTTTTTAGACTAATTATATGAATAATAGCTATAAGATATATATTTAATGAAAAAACAAAACAAATAACACAATACCATCAAATATTCATAAAATCAAATATCAAAGCACAACGCTTAATCAAAAAGTCTTAACCAAACTCAACAATTCTTAATCAAATTCATAACATGGCATCTTATATTAAAATTTAAAGAAACACAGAAAAAATAACATTTTATATTAAAATTCAAACAAACATAGAAGAAGATGATGTCATTGACTACAAATAAAAGAAGAAAGCTCACGAATAGAGTTATTAAATTATTGTTACTTTAAAAAAAACATAGCACAATATGAAGAGTAAAGAAAAAAATAGAAGAAAAGAAAGAAGAGAAAAAACAGAGGACAGTGAGAAGAGTAAAGAAAGAAGAAAAGAAAGAAGAAAAAAAGAAGAGGAGTAAGAAGAAAAACTTTTGAAAACCAAGATGAGAAGAGGAATTGGCCGAGTGAGAAGACAAAAGAGAGTTTTATGAATTAGGGGTGGAAGCAATGAGGACTGAAGTGAAACACGTGAGGAAGTGAGAAGACGAATCCTCTTTTCTGAGTTACGGCAAACTGGGCGAAATTCTAGAAAAACTTTGACGTTTATTAAGGTATTTGTGTATAGAAATAAAATGCTCAATTTTAATTTTTATTCTTTATAGACCAATGAAACATGTCTTGGCATATCAAAATTAGACTGAGAATTTTGTAGAACTCATAAGGATTTGACTCAAGGGCAAAAGTTAGCTCAATAGGTAAGAAATACATAAGAGCCTTGAAAGGGCTAATTTAGTCATATCTCACCTGCATGGTTAAAGGAGAGTTGGATGCGAACAAACAACGTAAATTACCTTAAATCTGTTTGCTTGAACCAATTCAAAAACAAGTGCATCACCATCATCCAATTTATGTTGCAATGCAAATGCTCTCCAGCCACCACTTAGCCCACTTCTATGGCCAATGTAAACAGCACCATACTCTGAGCCCTCTTCATCCTCTAAAATCATGTTACACCCCTCTTTTGGAAGATGGTCCTGACAAAATCTACTAGGAAGACCCTGGAAGAACAAAGACAAAGATTTATAGTGGGAAGTACATCATCTGTTAGACTTACTAATTCATAACTGATAATAAACTTGAAAAAATGCACAAATCGTGGATATGAAGGTATTCTGAACTGAAACCTACCAACCAAAAACAGCTATAAACATGAGACCGGACCATTGACTTGGCAAATGATGGATTTGGAGACTGCAAATTGATTTCCAGTTTCTCTGCAGCCTTATAAGCACGGTCTCTTTCTTGTTTCGTAGCTTCTTTGATTTCATCGAGTGGCCTCGCAATGTAACTAATAAGATTCCAATAGCCATATTATTAATAGTTCAATTAGTAAAATAGATAAGCCACCAAGTAATTAATTAAGCACCTTCCCCATGATGATGGACTTGACCTTGACCTCTTCCGTAGACGTGAACTCTTATGAGGAAGGTCTGTAGGAAACTGTAATAATGAAATATACACATTGTGAAGTAGACATTTCAGCTAGACCTTCACGTTGGAAATGAATAGCAATCTTCAAAAACAAGAATCTAGGTTTTCTCAATACATGAAAAATCACATAAGACTAGGGTGCCAGACTTGACTGTTTAATTATCAAACTCTGTTTTATTTAAACAAATTCAAGCACATATTCCTAATCCTGGTTTTTATTTTTCTATCTTTTGTAACTAGTCATACAAGTTTTAGACCGTCTTGGTCATAAAAGAGCGGTAGATACTCCACCACCCAACCCAAGCTAATTCATGGTATGTTTGGATTGATGTTAGCATAACTACTTTGGATTGAACCTCATTTCTCAAACGTACTTTTGAACGAATAATTACCAAAATTTATAGCACTTTTTTAATATAGCATAATATGTACCAGAGACCTTACTTCCATGCGAAAGTACATTTGAAGCCAAACTTGGTTTTGGTTAACGGACTTAATGAGTGTACCAAACATGAAATCAAAGTCCATCTGTCCATAAATACATTTTGCTCTAAATGTACTTTGTCACTTCCAAGTAGTAAGAGAGTGAAGACATAGCAAAATGCACATTACAATGAAAGACTCGCTTAACCCTAGCTAGAAGTTAAGCTAGCTAACTATTTTCCCAATCCATTTTTATGAGGAGCTTGGGGCATTGGGTTCGTTAGAGTATCATCATTGCTCTTAAATGAGTCCACGATTTTGTTCTATTCATTACATTATCGCAATTCAAACTATGCAAGACAACATTACTTTTTTTTAAAAAATAAGTTGTTGATTAATGCATAAATATAAATAAATTTTGCATCAGGGATTGAACCATAGACCAACAGTTTGCAACCATTTAATTCAACTAGCACATAGTAGTTGAGCAAGACAACATTACTTACCTCTTCACTGTATGAAGGAGCTTTGTTTCTTGCACGAGAAGAGCACCTTTGTTCCGCTACATGATTAGTCTTTAATTCTCGTTTGACACGGAGTTTCTGCATAGGGAAAGAGGGAGAATTAAGTCAAAACCAAATGTTAGTTCTTTGTTAACCAAAACTAAATAAAAAAATTACAAGTTTACCTGTGACTTGTTTGAAGAACTTCCGATTTTAGTCAATTGTTTAGAAATCTTTGAAATCCCTAAATCCTAGAGAACAAAAAGTGAGAGTACGTAAACTAAACAATCATCAAAATAGATCAAAAAATAAACCACTAAAATTGAATTCTAGTGGTGATGGACCCTTGACATTAAGCAACATGAAAGCCCTAAAGTAGAGATTACCGCAATTTTCTTATTGTTTTGTTCCAATCTTTGTTTTCTAGCCTCTTCATAGTTGTTGCTGGAGCTACCTTTTGCCATCTGTTAACTAGTTTCTGACTTGAGGTTTAAGTTTACAAATATGCATGGTTCAAGGAAGAAAAAAAATAACAAGTTGAAATATTGAATAAGCACAGTAAGAAGATGAGTTTTGAATACCTTGAAACTGGATTGTAAGAGAATGCCGCTAGTAACTTTTAGTGAGAAGAAAAAAAAAAGGAAGCGGAAGCGGTGAAGTAGCGATCGTGTCGATTGGAAGCAGGTGTTAGTGGAGCAAAGAGGCGAGAATCCGTGTCCATGTGAAAGAAGAGGGAAAAGTGGGAGTTGCAATTTAGGGCATGTTTAAATTATTTTTTTCTTCTTTTTTTATTTATTTTCCTTCATACGTTTAGTATTTTTATTGCTTATTACTACTATTTGTTACCCTACCTTTAGAAAAATAAAAAACTTTAGTTAGTCAATGATCACTTAATTTAGTTTTGAGTTTTATTTTCATCTTTTATCTAATAAATTTTCATAAATTATTTTAAATAATCAAGTAGCTTTTGTTGTTATAGTATTTGGTGCAAGCCTACGTCTTATCGTCTTCTCTAACAATTTGGTTGGAATTGGAGTGCGTATTAGAGATGACAAGGGTTCTTTTGTGGTAGTATGGACGGAATGGTTTTCACCTAGCACCAAAGTCGATGTTGGGGAAGTTTTAGGGTTATTGGCAACCATCAAATGGTCGTATGAGCTTGATTATGATAGTGTGGGTTTTAAAATGGATGCTAAAGCATTGTGGATATGGTGAATAGCTAGCAGCCAAATAATTTGAATTGTGGTGCTATTATTCGCGGATGTAAGCGCTTATTAGATTTATGGTTTAGGAACTCTCGTGTTAAATTTATTAGGAGACAAACTAATGAGATTGCTCATGCTTTGACACGAATGACTCCATCTTTTATTAGTTTTCACAATTTTATCGATGTACCAACATGTATCCAGAATTTTATTGCTAATGAAATGAATTAAGTTTTTTTCTGTAAAAAAATCATCTTAAATATATTCATATGAAAATTCAAAAAAAATTTAAATAATACTTCATCTAACAGTTAAATTAAAAAAAAAAAAAAAGTTAAAAACACAATACCAATTAAACTCGTGAAATCTAGAGTTTCATCTTCACTCTTCCTTTCAATTTTGTCATTAACGTATCCTCAAACTATCATATCTCTTTTATACTTCATTTCAATGTTTTATATAAAATTTTGTTTTCATCAATTAACGATGTTTCTATCCTCCAACATGTATTGTCGGGAACAGATCCTCTCTCGTGAGGTTTTTAGTCTAGTGAAATCTGGACCATTACTATTTTTTATAGTATATTAATTAAATTAATTTTAAAAAAAAATGAATGGTGAAGATTTAGACTACATAGCATCCCGTGCATTTTTTACTAGGGAGAATCTTGATCCTGTATTGTCTTTCCTTTTCTTTTACTTTTTTTTCAATTTAGGGTTTCATATTGTGTTGATGATATATTAGAACCATGTAAATTTCATTAGGTATATTTTTGAATTCAGACTCATATCCTATTGTTGCCTCTTATGATATTTTTTTTTCCAATCTAGTTTTTACGTGTGTGGTGGTTTTATCTGTTGCAAAGCTTTTTACTCTAGTAAGGAGATGAGAGAAGATGTGAGTGATGTGGTATCTTCGCAAGTACACGAAAATTATCAGAGTAATATAAAGAGTGTCAAACCCATAGAGACCTAATAGTCAAGCTATTGTTATCTATTGCTACGGTGTTTATCCAAGACGAATAAAAATAAGTGTTTGGATTGTGAAAATAGGATAAAGTAACAAACTTGAATTAATTCAGAAATAAATGTTGGAATGCGAATCTCATCAATTTATTGATACTCTTATTATTCCTAAATTAAATTACCTATGGGACAATATTTTTCTCTTTGAAAAATAACTAATTAAAAAAGAATTGTCGTTGTCGCGTAATCGGAGTCAGATTTTACTCTCTAATTTATACAGTCCATTATTGTGTGCCCGACGCGTTTTACTTTAAAGAAGTAAACTTTTTTTTAGAAATAAGTTTCATTGACTCACATGAAAAATTGTTTTAATTGGAAAATAAGACTTTAAAAGGTTCCTAGTTTTCGCTCGGCCAATCGTGCCTTAAACTTACAAACGCATTCGAAAATAGGTTTAAAAGTACTTTATTAAAATACTAACCTTCATAATTAATTAACAAATAGCTTTCGCGGTTTTTATCAATTAAAAACTAACGACTTTAATCTTTTATACCCGACGGCTTTCGATCTTACTCGGTGTATAAATGGTTCTACTTTCGTAGTAACCGACGCTTTTAAGGTTAGAAAAATTGTGATAAAAACCTAAACATCCCTATAAGCTTTTCTCAAGAACAGCGATTTAGAGTACCAGCGAATCGACGATTCTCACATTCCAACACTTATAATTTAGCTAGACATGGTTGTAATGTGCGATAAAATAATTGATTCGATCATGAAATAAAACATAGTAGATATGTTGAATAAAACTTTAAACATGCAATTCAAATTAGAGTAGAAGAAGAACATGCAATTAAATAAAGAATATGATAACATAAATATAATGTGATAAATAAAAACCTGCTCTGGAGAGACTTTAATCCGGTACAAGAGTAAATTGCTGAAACTCAAATGCGGAAAGTAAAATGACACCAAGATTAAAACTTCGATAAAAGTTACTCCAAACTCAATAAAAACTCGACCTGCAACAGTTTCCGATTTACTTGATCAATAACTGATTATGACTTATTTGGTTCATGAATCCAGTCAAGGTCGACCCAATTGTGGCATCCTTTTTGGGTGGAGCAGTTGGCATGATTTCAGTACTTATGTTAATTGAGGCTAATAATGTTGAGCAAAAGAGAAAACTAAGTGCAAGTATTGCCTTGTAACTGGTATGTTTCGACTCTTCGAAGATTGTCACTTTGTTGATAAAGATATAAGGTCTAAAAAGAATTAATGAAAAATGATGCTTCTCTGCTCTTGCAGATCCAGTTCTAAGAATCTCGATCATGATGGGCAGTCTTGGGGCTCTATGGTCGGGAAATAAGCAAGTGTACTAATTTGCCAATGTAGTAATAATGAGAAATCTCAAAGTATCAATCTCAAGGACTGCGTACAATTATCGAGTTCAATTCACGTTCAATTAAACAAAAACTTAATTAGGGGTTTTGGTGTTGAATTTATCACTTAACAAGTAGTAGAAATATAAATTGACTTTTCACTAATATGAAGAGCATGCTAGGGGTAAGTGTGTGATTTGGCCCTGTAATAACCTTTACTCTTGATTTCTTCAACAAGTTCATTATCTTCAACTACATGATCTTTGGTTTGTTTTCCCCTAAGTCCTTAATGGAAAAACCTTTGGTCCTTCATCCTAATACCTAAGTCCTTAGACAATTATGATGAAACCAAGCATTTATTTTATCAAGATTTACCAGTAACCTATAGGGTATCCCTAGTTCTAGGTGATATCTCTTATAGTCTAATCGTTCAAAAACATTAACAATGGCGGTCCAGCCCTAATTGTTAATCGTGAATCAATCCATATTGGTCTGATAGGAAAAGCATAAGAACATTGAACAACTAAGTTGAAAATAAACTATTGTATCTAAATCAAGAATTCAAAATCATTACATTTGCAAAACAGAGACACCCCTAACATGTTTAGCTACTCATATTGTTCAAAAGAATTTCAATAACAATAAAGATAGACCTTACAAATTGATGGTGAATTATGATCTTCAATTGCTTTCGCTCATGAAAGGTCTTCGTTCTCCAAAACTTGCATAGGATTTAATCTTCAATCTTCTGAATTCTTTGAGTTGCAAAAAGTCCTTATCTCTGGTGTAAAAACTACCTCAAATAGTGAAAATCTTCTATTCCTGGTCTGAAATGTCAAAAACGCCCTTCTCGGTCACACTTAGTGGACTATGAAAAATTCTGAAATAATCAGTGCTTGAACCAACACAGCTCGTGTTAGGTGACACGACCAACCGTGTTGGTCATCTATCAATTCAATAAAAAAAGCTCAAGCCCCAGCATGTTTGACACGACCTATGTCATGTGGCAAGGGCCCCCGTGTTGGGCTTCTGATGACGTCCTCTTCAAGGATTCCTCTGTCTGACATGGCTCGTGTCAGGTGACACGGGTAGCCATGTCATACCTATTGTAGCTCGTTGAAAGCTTTTATGAAACCTCCAATTTCTCAACTTTTCTCGTACTGAGGACTTTGGATTCTTCACTTGAACCTGAAATAGTCACAACAACCAAAACAAAGCATAAAATAGGAAATGTCTTGAAATAAACTCCCGAAAACATAAAATACGGAGAAACTCAAGAAGCATAAATTTAACTCAAACGGTAATGAAATAGGACACAAAACGATGCAGAATACCTGGAATATCGTCAAATAAGTGACAAACACATAATGAAAATGGTGACCAATCACAACCCCAAATTTAACTCGTTGCATGTCCTCAAGTAATGTTCAGGACTAATAGAATCAGACACCCCCAAAATATAACTTACCACAATACCACCAAGATCTTTTGCAACTGGTTTTCGCTTCTTTTCCAAAGTTCTCTTCTTCCCTGAATCGAGTGTTTTGTCACACTTCCACCTCCAGACACTACTTCACCTGTCATCTTATATCACACTCTCACCAAGTCTCTCAGGGTTAAAGTGTTTTCACTCATAGTTCAACATACAGAATATCAACTCAGGAATTTGAATACATTATAAATTCATTTCACAGACACATAACACACACTTTTTGAGGAATTCGAGTTGTAGTGGGGCTTAGGTACAGTGGGATAAAAAAATAAAAACGGTAAATCAAAGGGTTTTGGGCTCGACATCAGTGTTGTCATTCCCTCTTATGTGTTTCTTTTTGCACTCTTTCTCAAATGGAGTTTTCATACACCTTTTTCAATTTGACTCCTCAGTTCTACTCAAGTGTTTATTTTGAGCGTTGTT